CCAGCGCTGCCGCCTCGCTCCCACCAGGGCCTTGGTGCTCCTGCTCCTAGATCCCTAGCTCAGAGATTCGCTGTCCGCTGCGTCCGCCCCCAGCCCCCCGGAGCGTTCTGTCTGCAGCGGGACGGCCCCTCTCTCCTGGCTGCTGTAGAACATAAGAGCGGCCAGACTGGGTCAGACCAAAGGCCCATCCAGCCCAGCGTCCTGTCTGCCGACAGTGGCCAATACCAGGTGCCCCAGAGGGAGGGAATCGAACAGGGAATGATCAAGCGTCTCTCTCCTGCCATCCTCCTCCACCCTCTGACACACAGAGGCCGGGGACACCATTCCTCACCCATCCTGGCGAATAGCCATTGATGGACCTAACCCCTATGAATCTATCTAGTTCTCTTTTAAACCCTGTTCTAGTCCTCGCCTTCACAACCTCCTCCGGCAAGGAGTTCCACAGGTTGACTGCACTGTGTGTAACTCCCGGGCTTTCTGCTCTTGATTACAGGTGTCCGGTCGCACAGCCCCCACTGCAGGCAGCCTTCCACCCCAGCGCCCTTCCCACCCTGCCCCCGCCAGCCTGTCCCTTTCTGCTCCTTCTTACGCTGGCTTGGTCGACCCGCCTCCTATTCAGGAGCAGCCAATCCAGCGCAAGACTGGCCAAAGGTGAGAGAGGGGATGTTCTAGCCCCGCACCCCCCCCTTCCAGGAGTGGCCCCCCTGGGATGGGATTTCCCGTCCCTTCGCCCCCAGCCAGGGAAATGGGAAAAATGTAGTATTGAAAGGGGGTGGATGCAAACACAGCCCAAGAGGGGGTGTGTGTGTGTGTGTGTGTGTGTGTGTGTGTGTGTGTGTACGAGGGCTTGTACAACACATGACTCTAGGGCAATTTTTGGGCCTCAAGCGGAAGGGGCGGGGCCAGGATGCTTGCCTACCCCTGCTCTGTGGGGTGTGTGTGTGGGGGGGGAAATGCACATCTGAGGGTTTGTATAATACCTGGCATTGAGGGGTGGCCAGAGGGTTTTCTTTATCAGCCCTGCTTTGGGCTGGCTGCCGGCAGCTCTCCTAGGCGGCAAACTCGTCCGTGAGTTAATGGGACCGACCCAAACCAGCTTTAGGCATAGACAGGAACAGCGTTTGCATGAGGGTAAACCCAGCTCTGGCTACAGCAGCCTGGTCAACAAGGCCTCCATCAGGGCCCAGCTCCCATCTGGATGCAGCAGCCTGGCCCTGACCCCATGGTCCGTCCCCCATCTGGCTGCAGGAAGGGCTGACACTGACCTTCCGTCCTGCTGCTGTGGGGGTAGGAGGGGAGGCCTGAATCCCCCCCACTCACCCCCAACCCTCTGCCCTGAGCCCCCCGCACTCCACCCCACACTTACAACAGTACCTGTAAGAAATTAATCGCAACTCTTCCCCCTGCTGTAACGCCCCTCCCAAGGGGGGCCGGGTTGTGATAGGACAGTGCCTGTAAGAAACTGAAGTTACTTTCTCCCGTTATTGTCTTGGCAGGGTCATTTGTGTTAATTTGTTAGGAGCCGCAGCTTAATTCAGCTGCTATTGAAGGCAATGAGAGTTTGAATGCAGTAGTAGCCCGTCTGGTCTGTGTGCTCTGTGGTTGGTTTGCATTTGTCGTCTTTTGGGTTGTTGTTTTTTTTGTTGTTGTTTAAAGGACCGATTTTTTTTTTTTTTCCTTTCTTTTCTTTAAAGGCCTTGAAATCCAGAGGCCCAGTTTTTCAGCCTTTTGCACGTGTCAGTGAGAGAGGCTAATCCCCAGCAAAACACCCAAGCCTGGAAGCTTTGCTGGAGGACAGATGGAGGGGCAGGCCCAGATTCTGGGTTGGGGCAGGATTAGCGCATGGCATGATGGGTCCGGTCTAGCTTTACTTGGCCCTGCCCATGTGCTGGGGGGCTGGACAGGATGTCCTCTTGGGTTCTGTGCCCTCACATCCTTCCTGGGGCTTGCAAATGTAGAGGGCTTGTCACAGATTCATGGAATCCCAGGGTCGGAAGAGACCTCAGGAGTCATCAAGTCCAGCCCCCTGCCCAAAGCAGGACCAACCCCGACTCCATCATCCCAGCCAGGGCTTGGTCAAGCCGGGACTTAAAAATCTCTGGGGATGAGGCAGCCCTGCGTGAAAGCTGACGCCGTAGATTCCCTCTGCCGTTCCGCTAAGCTAGACCCGGCCCATTGGCTGTGGGCGTAGATTTTCCACGCAGCCCTCCGGGTGCGTTCTGAGGGGCGTGCGAATAAGACCAGTCACAAGGGGCCTTGGCCTGGGATCCCAGTCTGGGGCGAGTCCAACTCCTCTCTCGCCTTCGGCAGTTTTGGTCCTGGCTGTCACCCCTTCCCGGGCGCTGGCTGATTCTCTGGGGTCTCTCTCTCTGGCTGGTGCTGACTTGCTCATTTCTCCTCCCCGGCCTCGCTCTGCTCCGCGTTGCCCTGGCCCTTAGCCGCAGGCCTTCTTACAGGCTGGGGCCTCCCTTGGGCACGGGGGCCGCCCCCTCGTTAGAGACACTGGCGGGGGCAAACCTCCTGGGTACCCACCTGGCGTGGAAGGGGCTGTATGAATAGCCAGCAGGCAGTGATGCCGTAAACGTGACCGGGGCTCATCCAGAGCCTGCCCCTCCACGGGCCGAGACGCCGGTGCCGCCCCCAAAGGGCCAGCAGCGCGTCCCTGGGTGTGTCTCATGCCCCCGCCACAGCGACGAGCTGCCAACTCAGAGAGCCTGACTCCAGCCCACACCCTTGGGGGGCCGTGTCTCCTGTACGTGGCCCTGGGGCCAGCTTGTGCGCTGCCGTCTCCCTTGCCTCCGTCTCGCCCCTTCTCGCTCCCCCGGGTCTGGCAGGACCCCAGAAGCTCAGGGATCGCAGGCCACTCCGAGGCCCTGGCAGGTAAAGTCCGTCCGGATGTCCGATTCCTCCCGCCGGGTCTGGCCGCCTGGCTCTGCACCAGGGGGAGCCACAGCAGCTGGCTGGGGGCGAGGGGGGAGACAGGAATGGGCCGCGCTGTGGCCGGGTGGTTCTGTGGGGTTGCTGCAGCTTGGGGCTGAGCCCCATGCACGGGCATCGTCCTGGCCCCGGTGTTAGACACCAGCTGCCCCCAACTACAGCCTGGGAGGAGGAGGAGGA